GCTAGCCTACAAACGGGTGAACTCTTGATTAGATGACACTTACATATCCGCAGATGTTGCGAATTTGCCATTAAAGAGCGCAACACACTAGTTTGTGGTAAATGGACGCTTACTGATCGTTTCCCCGGAACTCCTTCCTCCCGTTTTGCCTTACGGACTCTCTCTCTCTCTCGAGCCCAACTAGCAGCCGCACGGTGGCGCATGATATAGGCGGAATGGTATTACCGACAAAGACAAGGGAAACTGAAGTGGTCATTTCTAGCCTATTAGTCGTCGTTAGCCGGTCATTCCCAACCCCCAAGTGTGGAACACCTAGAGTTTGGAACTCGCGACCTGTTTGTTAGAAGTCCGACACCTCTAAGCATTGAGCCACGGGCTCGTTGTCCTGTCGGTGTGTTATCGCAGAGGGCGTTCGCCGACTGGTTATTGGACATGCTCATCCGTTGAGATTTTGAGCTCTGTCTAGAGCCCCGCGGTCAGTCGCACAGCGGTTAGTTGTATGCGCAGTAGGAGATAACCGACAATGACAAGAGAGACTAGAGTTGCCCCTTCTGGCTTATTAGCCGTCATCAGCCAACCATGTCCAATCCCAGGTTTTCAGCATTTGAACCTCGATCCCACTTTCTGTGGTCATCGAGCGTTTTTAAGCCCAACGTTCTTGGCCTTTGAACCAACGGTCCGTTGTCCTGCCAGTCGCGATCGGGAACACCAACGATGTTCGAAGTGCGTTGTTCACCCGTCGAGCTACGGGACATGCGGGTTTGTAGATCGCGTCTTAAGGCACAACGATACGAACAAATCCCGCAACCCGACCGGTGAACGAATTTCCAACATAGTATTCCGATCGCAACCGATAGCACGACGGGGCCGTGGCTTAATGGTCAAGAACGCTGAACTTAATAACGTTCAATAGCCAAAGTACGCGGAGTAATGATGTTGTTGTTGATGACGATGTTGTTGTTGTTGTTGTTGTTGTTGTTGTTGATGATGATGATGATGATGATGATGATGATGATGATGATGATGATGATGATGATGATGAGGATGATGATGATGATGATGATGATGATGATGATGATGATGATGATGATGATGATGATGATGATGATGATGATGATGATGATGATGATGATGATGATGATGATGATGATGATGATGATGATGATGATGATGATGATGATGATGATGATGACCAATAGGCCGGAAATGGCCATCTCATTCCCCTTGTATTCGTCAGTAAACACATTCTGCGTATACTCTTTTACCTGTAACACAGCAAAAATATGTAAGTTGTTGTTCTTACATAACTGGACACTCCGTTGCTTTCAATAATATGCACCATGATGGCCTACGACAAATTGGTGTTAAATCGCCACCCTGCCACTCAAGTCGTCTTGTGGTCAAAACAGTGCTAACGCGGCCAGCGGATCCTTATACGTTCATTTATTGGCCAATTCCACTGTCATGGACCGTATTTCTTAAACTTTGCGAAGCCCATCAAAGAGACGTATAGATTACTTACCAACTTGGTTAGTCGCAACTGAATCCAGCCCTTGTCGACACTCTTCTCGTAAATCTACCTAAACTGTCACCCAGGGTTTTTCGTCGGCCGGCGGAACTCATCACACTTCTGCCAATTTTTGACTGTCAAAAATACGTTAGTCTAAAGGACTGTTCGGTAGGAAAGGCAGGGTAAAGTTCTAGCGCCTCCTATGAGTCTGGAATAAAAAAGACAAGCGATTGATTCTCAAAAGTGGCAGACCTGCACGTCATGTAAGACTAAAAGGCAAATTGACAAGACAGGAATCGTCTGGAGTCGTTTGTCAGATCTGGCGCGGCTTTGGACAAATCGATTTTGTCCGAGAGATGAGGGAATTACTCCAAACGCGAAGGCCGAACACGCAGCAGCAGCAGCAGCAGTGAGCAGGAGGAATGACGCTAACTCTGAGGTCGTAGCTCAGTTAACGGGACTCAACTACACCTCCAAGTTGGATGAGTCTGAAATTATCGAAAGAGGTGACAACCGTAAGAGCCGCGAACTGTTTGAGTTCCGTGAAAACGAACGGTGAGTGGCCCTCCACCATTGTTTGAGCCATGGTTCTCCGACCTCCCCAGTCGATCAACAAACGCGATGACCTGCCAAACCCACTTTTTGTGCTGGGACTTTGCTCGGGAAGAGTAATTAGCCATGCAGTGAGGGTGTTGGCGGCCGACAGTTCTAATGACAATGAACCAAATGACCGAGTCATTATCACGCCAAGAATCCACTACGGGAATGAAATTACGGCAATTAACGTCACGAGGGCGGATTAACAAGCCATCATCGCATCAACTACGACCATGTGGGAGCTGCCAGTTATGTGGCTGTGTGACAACTACGGTCTGTAAATACAGTACTCTTTGTGTCTCCACACTCCTATCTGCCACTCTGTAACACTAGTCTATGAAGTCAGTCGGATCATTGCTGCCCAAGCCAAAAAAGAAGCTCGCAGGCCTCGGGCGCCCTGACTCACAATGTCAACCTCCAGCCCCTTTCAACATTCCCGCGCTGTCCACAGACATTCCGCGCGTGGATTAGCCTCATTTTAAATCTCCGAACCCACTGCACTAACAGCCCGGCAAACCCAACTCCTGCTTTCTCAGCCGTCCCCGCATCAACCCCGATGGCGTCCACGATGGCAGCCACCTTCACCACCGGCGATCACAATCCCGGTGATCCGTCACGTCGATCACCGTTATCTCCATCATCTTTGCTATAGCCTCCACAGCCGCGACCACCACCCCTCCCACTCCAGTCGCCGGTGAGAACACTCCCGATGCGCCGTTATCCATCATCCTCACCATCACTGCTCCCACGTCCAGCAATATGGACTCGGTCCTAACATTTCCTCATGGCGATCGCACATTCACTTCACTCACTGACCTGGTCGACAATTTGCAAATCCGTCGCACTGAGACTGGGAAACTAGTGCCTAGAGCACCAGCGTACACCAGACGCCATCGCCTCAACTGCCTGCGCTTCCCTCACACATTCAGCCACCGAATGGCGCTCTTTTCTCACAAGTGATTCCGCGAATACCTGTGGTTAATCATCCGGAGACATGACCACATTACCACGTGTTCTCCTAGCAACACACGCACCGCACATGAACACCTCCAACATTCCACACCGGCTCCTCCTATGTAAGTGGGAAGTGTGCTCCTCGACTTCCTTCTCCGCGTAGCTCCTCTACTACATGTGAAATTCGAACGGTTTACTACCTTGTGCATGAAATACCAGTGTGCGCTAAGGGCAACAAGATCGTGTGTGTGGCACGCACAGACGGCCTGTTCTCAGTTCGGTCGGCCATCTTTCCCAATTTTAGCATCAGCTGGTTGACCGTTCCAGACAGTCGTCCGATGCATGTGATAGGGTAGAACTAGTAATGTCGACTCTCACTATAAACAGTCTGACAGACTTGAGTCTATCACGATGCTCTAAAAGCCATGACTTTGAAGGTTGCTAAATGGCGCTTCAGTTTAGACCACTCAGTCAGCCTAGTGGTGTACTTGTGTATCGAATGGCCGACTGGTGGACTGAGAACCGGTCTACATTAGCTCCTTCTCGATGGCACACACGCACACACATGTGAGATACGAACCACTTCCCCCTTGTGTGTGTGTGTTATCCTGGAGTGTGCGTTTTGGAGGGGAGGGGGGCAGGTCATGCATGCGGCTGACGCAGACGGGCATTCTGACTTTGTCAGCAACCGCGCCCACTCCTCGCATCAGAAAACTGACCGGCTCAAACGTTGGACTGCGGCCTTGGAGTGGGAAGAAAGAGAAATCGACGGTTTCAGCCCAAATTCTCCTTCATAAATAGGCTGACGCGTTAAAATCCATCATGGAAGTGCTAGAGGTCCTGACTTGGAGGACTGCCAACTGACGGAATGAGTCGGACCTGGTAGACAGTTCAGTGAGTGGTAGGGGGCGCTCACCGATCGTTCTTACGGAACTCACTCGTTCCGTTGTGCCTTATGGACTCTCTCTCGAGCCCAACCAGCAGCACAGCGGCGCATGATATAGGCAGAATGATCGGTGAGCGCACCCTACCATTGTATACTCCCGATTGGAAACCGACAGGGCAACGGGCTCGTGGCGCAGTGGTTAGAGGCGTCGATTTCTACCAAACAGGTCGCGAGTTCGAGCCTCGGATGTGCCACACTTCGGGATTGGGTATGACTGGCTGACGACGGTTAATAAGCCAGAAATGGCCATTCCAGTCTCCCTTGTCTTTGTTGGTAATATCATTCTGCCTATAGTTCAGTGAGTGCTTGTGTGGAGTGATCTACTGGTGGACTGAGAGGCAGGCTTCAATGGCTCCTTCTGAATGTGCCCTCTGTGGCACTCCCACTTAGTGGAATCTGAGCCGGTGTGATGACACACGCTAAGGTGCGGGTTTTTGGTGTGCCAGCCACTTGTGCCCTCTCTTCCCTCCAGTCTTCTTGACTCTGTTTTGACGCCGGGCTCAGGTTGGAGAGGATGACAGAGCGAGGTAGATACCGCGAAAGTCTACTGTCACTATAAATTACTTCAGGGGCAAGTAACAGTTTTCTGCGCCCACTCTGTTCTGGGACAGACGGTAAACATCGTCAGAATTGACGGCCTAGCTGTCACTAGCGGCCGACAACGTTTCGGTAGTTAATTTATAATGCATACGCCTGATAAGGGCTATTTCAAAGCCTCGTTACCTTAGTCAGTCCAAGAGGTTTATGCTAACAAGCTCACATGTGACTCACTCGACAGGCTTTGGTTCTGCTTAAAGGTGAATCAGTCATCACTTGTGGGTCGCGAATTTTATCGCCTTTTTTCCAAGTAGTGGATCATCTAGTCGCATCCGGCATTGCACATAAAAACATCATCAAGTTTTTTTTCCAAAAGCCACCCAGAATGAATATGTCTAAGGACTTATATCTAGTCATCTTTCCTTCACAGTTGGGGTTAGGTGTTTTAATTGCTAAGACTCCCTCCATGGAAACAGCTTTTTGACTTGAATCACTTCGAATTGCTTCTGCTCGCACTTTGTCTTACTGAGTAAGGGAACTTTTTAAGGCAATCATTGCATTCCTCTAGCGTACAGTTGACGCCTCTTCAGACAGCGTTCGGTTCATTCACTTTGGTACTAACCCCTCGTATTGGTCATGGCCACGAAACACAGGATTTATGAAGACCGCCAGTCAGTACTGCCGGAGGTACTTCAAAGGGAGCCGATGCAATGAACTGGACGGGCGGAATTTGTTTAGTACTTTAGCAAACACGCCAAATGTCAGGTGTGCAGTAAATCCGCAGACGTCATCGTGGCAAGGATAGAGAGAGAGAGCCCGTCGCTAAATATAACCTTTGGCGTCTTTAGGACAGGGTTCGCGGAATCAAAAACAAAAATATTAGTCTTCATTAAAACCCCGTCTCTCGCTCTCTCTCAAGTCTGGAAAATTGCTGACGTATTTCGACCTTCCATTACCTCAACTCTGTCACCCTCGCCGTGCGTCATCGATCAATTACCCCGAGTGTCTGCAGATTGTTTTTCCGCAGATGTTTTTGTTTCGTCTGTCTATGTGGGTTGTCTGTCTCAACTTGACGAATTTACGTCACTTTTGCCTTGGCTGTACGCACAGGGTGTCTGTAAATCGAAAATGCTATTTTTCTGAGGGTGCCTGAATGGGTGAAGTGTACCAGTTTTCAAAGCAGTCAGTAGTACTCGTGAATTTGGAAACAATCCGAGTCTCCACCACTTAGGGACTTTCAACGACAAGCTCTACTATTCTCTGAAACAAATTCATATGGCTACGAATTTCGCTGTAGAATATCTTTTGAACTCGAGGAATATTACTATACATACAGTAGATGTGCTAACTCATGAAATGTAAACCAAAATTTCGGAATGCCTTCTCGTTTCGAAAAGATAAATTAAATAGTGTTGTAAAACTAATCATGATGCAGCATAAATCTATACTGATCCAATTACCTCAGCGTGTCGGCTTTCGAAAGAACTTATTTTCGGCTGCATGCAAGATGTATACTCTGCAAAAAATGACAACTCAAGTAGTATGCAATTTTTCATTGGTTTTCGATGCCCCTAAAAGTCCAATTATATTTCATGGAAAGCATGCATAAAAATATTCATTCTTTTACTTATTCGGTAGATAATTACGTCTTCTTT